ATGAATGGGACAGCTTCAACCCAAATGGACCTTGAGAAACATGATGGTTGGGTCAACAGAAACCTCTGGAAAGGTCATCAAGAAGTGTGAGGTACTTTGCACCTGGGTCAAAATAAACCTACTCACCAGTATAGGCTGGGAACTGCCTGGATCAGTAGGGACCTACTGAAAAGGATTTCAGTGCACGCCAAATTGAATTTAGGCCAACATACCACTCTTATCATGAGAAAGGCAAACCACATGCCGGCCAGCATCAGAAGGATCTTGAGGGATGTTTTTATCCCCTATACTCAGTCCTGGTGAGCCCACACCTGGGATATAGTGTGAAGTTTTGGGCTCCCCAGTTCAAGAGGGATAGGGAAAAACTGGAGAGGCCCTGGGGAGGACCTGGGGCACATGGTCAATGGGAAGAGGCTGAGGGAGCTGGGTTTGTTTAGTCTAGCCAAAAGGATGCTAAGACAATCTAACAGCATCCTACAGCTACCTGAAGGGCAGAGAGAATGGAGCTAAACTTTTCTCAGCCACAGCAGCCAGCATAACAAGGGGCAACAGCCACAAGATATGGTTTGGGAGCTTCAGGCTGGACAGTAGGAAAAGCATTTTTCACCAGAAAGGTGGTGCAGCCCTGGCACAGGTCACCGGGGAAGCTGTGGCGTCTCCATCCTTTGGAGGTTGAAGTTGTGGCTGCCTTCATAGAAGCATAGAATAGTTTGGGTTGGAAGGGACCTTTAAAGGTCACCTAGTCCAACCCCCCCACCATGGGCAGGGACATCTTCAACTAGATCAGGTTGCTCAGAGCCCCATCCAACCTGACCTTGAATGTTTCCAGGGATGGGGCATCTACCACCTCTCTGGGCAACCTGAGAGTGTTGGTGATGGTTTTGCCGACTAGATGACCTCCAGAGGTCTCTTAGAATATTTTTGTGATTCCTGACCCTCAAGGCAGGACAGCTGAGCTCTTGAGGGGCTCCTATAGTGCTATATTTGGTGACTGCTTAAACTAGAGGCTGCATTATACTGCAGACTGGTCACCACAACCACATTGAAAACATATGTATAAAGAGTATCAGCGTATGATGAAAAGATGCTGTAGACCCCAGATGAATTTGCAAGGGATTGACATGAACAGGGTGATTCAAAAGTGGTAACGCTGCACATAAGCAACTCCCAGCCTTGGAGGTGTTTTTCTGCAGAGCTGTCTGTCTCTGCTAACCAGCTTGCTGCCTTTGCTGGAACTGGTGCCACCCGCCCAAGCTCCTTGCACCCTGCAAAACCTTCTTATAGTTGGGGAAACAGCCTTCCCTCCTGTTTTAATTCATCCTCTTGACCTTGTGCAATTCTCACCAGCCCTAAAGGCACTGTTTTACCCTCAGGTCTGTGACACCTGGTACCACAAAGTGCTGCACAGAAACATCCAGTGCATTCAGCTCCTGGTCTGGACATCTTTGCTATACCTGCCTTGCTGTACTTTATATCTCCTTTAGCCTTCCTGGAGCACAGAGGAGCAAGACTGAATAAAATCAATGTACTTACGGCATAGCTGGATTGATTCATGTTAACCTCCTCTATGCAATTTATGGCTGTTGCCTAAGGTATATCCTTAAGTGCTTCGTAAAATCTATTTTAAACTATCTCCAAGGAAATATCTCCTCTGGGGAAAACCTGGCAAAGCATAACAGCACAGGGTGGATTTTGCTGATGCTACACCTTCCTTTCCTTCCTTTTTTTGCAATCCTCCTGCCTGCCCCTTGCTCTCCATCAAACACTCCTCCTCCCACTTTGGTGCTGACAACCTTTTCATGTTTCCTGGTTTTTATCTCCCTCCCTGCTGACAGCGGGAGCTAGCCTTTCCAAACCGCCTCTTTTTACTCTTCTCTTGCAAGTCAGTCCCTTTCAACAGTGTTCTTAAAGAGCACAGAGGAGAGGAAGGGGGAAAAGTGGTTTTATTTCTCTTTATAGAAACTCCAGCCCAAATTAATGGAAATTACCACAGCAAAAGCATAATGACAGGCCTATAGTTGACCACAAAGCTAAGACACACTGTTTGCAATTGCCTTGGATGCTTACCCACAGGGAACTCTCCTCTGCTGGAGTGGTAATGAGGAAAGGAAGAATTCAGGCTGTACCAGCTTGTGCATTGCCTGAGAAAAATCTCTATATGATGTGATAGGAGTTTTCCAAGTGGAAAATGGATGTAGAGTCCCGAGCCCAGTAGTGAGAACAGGCCATGCTGGGATTGAGCTGGCCAGGCCATCCTGTGAGTTGCTTCTGCATCCATCACGAGCCCAGCACACATGGACATCGTTCCAGCTGGGCGGCCGAGGGATGGTGCAGCCTGCCTGCTGCCCAAAATAGCACCGCGAATCCAAGGGAGGTAATTGAACTCACTGTTTATTTTTGTGTGATGCTGTTTGTGAACAAACTTACGTGACAAATTGCTGTGTAAGGAGTTTTTTTCCACTTTTTTCTCCTCCTTTCTATAAGCAGAACCACTGCTTTGGTAATCGTGAGGATTAAGGAGCAGCTGCTGCAGTCTGGGGGGCTTTCAGAAAGGCTGCACAGTCGTCCCTCTGAGGGTGTCCCTCTGATTTATAACAGGACAAGTCTGGTGCTACACTGTTTGCTTTGCAAGAGCAGAGCCTGTCCCCACCACTGCCCAACAGCCTGGCGTGGCAGACCCACACAGCACAGGACGAGCAAAGGGCCGGCAGCAATTTTGCAGAAGGATTGCACTGTCAGAACAAAACACAGAGCCCAGGACTCCTTGGACTTGTGTGGTGGCCACCAGCCAGTAACTGTGCTGCTCTGGTGCTCGAGCATGGTCTGGTCCCCAGCTGAAGTCAGCTGTCCTAATGGTAGGAAGGTGCAGCCATTCTGACTTTATAAAGTGATTCTGCAGCCCCATCCAGGGGTATTCCTGGCAAAGCACATTGACTCTTGACTTTCCACACCATGCGAAACAGATTATTTTGTTATTAGCTTATTGTGGTTTGGAAAGTACCCTGGAGTGACTTGAGGCTGTGCTGAACAAGGCAGGAAACCGTCTGCGAGCTGAGGGCCTGTGCTTAGCCAGGAAAGAACCTTCTTCTCCACCGGATGCAGTGAGGATGCCACAAATCCGTGCGCTGCCAAGAGCTGGAGGGACCACTGTGAACATCATGGCCCGTCTCTTCCCTACTCCTGTCCAAAGAACCTCATTCCTGTTCATAGTCTGGTTTAGAAACAGACATGACCTAGTCATGGCTTGAAAACTGAGAGCAGCGCAAAACTCCCCCAGATTTGGTTTTCATAGAATCATAGAATAGTTTGGGTTGGAAGGGACCTTCAAAGGCCATCTAGTCCAACCCCCCTGCAGTGAGCAGGGACATCTTCAACTAGATCAGGTTGCTCAGAGCCCCGTCCAACCTGACCTTGAATGTTCCCAGGGATGGGGCATCTACCACCTCTCTGGGCAACCTGTGCCAGGGTTTCACCACCCTCGTTGCTTTCTGATGCTCATGGTTAGCACGTTACTCGTCCTTCCTTGAATGGGTCCACCTACATCTCCTCAGCATGCACTCTCACGTCTGTCTTCTAACACCTTCTTTTAAGCCAGAAGTTGCTTCTGTGTGTAGGTACCTGTGAACAGGGCTGTAGGCTCTCTTAACCATCTCCTCAATGAACAAAAGGCACTGCACAAAAATATGCAGAAAACCCTAAAAAAATAATAATAATCAGTCTGTTTCTCCGAGGTATGCTAATTGGGTCTCTCAAAATGGCTGGGCAAACAGTCTGGTGAAATATTTAAACCAGCCACTTAACCACTGGCCTTTCCACCCTCCACCACCGAACTTCTCTGCACAGCCCGGACCTTACCATAGGACAACTTGCCAGGGTGTGAGGAGTTAATGAATTTTCTCCACTGTGTATTTCTTTTCCCTTCTGCATATTTGGGGTGAACTTAGAAGTTTTGGTTTCTCTACTGAATTCCATTCTGGAGCCAAAAATTACAAGTTACCCAATGGTCTGTGGTTGCGCACACTGATGTATGAGACCAGCAACACTGTGCTTGGGTGGAAAGGAGCCCCGAGATGGGAAGAAAATAGAGGCAGCTGCACCGAAATAACACCAGACTTGACTTTCACCCCATAATTACAGCTGCATCTGACAATAACCCCTTCAGGAAGCACAGCAAGGCTGGCTGGCTCTGTGGTCAAATGGCTTAGCCACGAGCTCTGCCCAGTCCGCAAGAGGGCTGGGTTCAACCTCCCTTTCTGGTTCTGCATCCCTGGGAAAAGTTCTGCCTTTCTCAGACTGGAAAATGGGAAGGAGCCTTAACACTCACATGCTCCAGGAAGCTCCTGTGACAAGTACTGATAATGTAAAAATAAGAATTATTATTATTATTGCTGCAAAATCTGGCCATGCTGCCAAAGCGCGACAAGTTTGGAGTTTCTCTCCTGGGCTGGACCTGCGGTTCCTTTTGATGCCCTCCCCTCCCCAGCGTCGTCATCCCCGCCCCTTGCCACCAAAGCAGCAGCTACACAGCAGCTGGGTGAAGCATGTGAGTTGGTCCTTGCAACGGTCCACAGCCTGGGACAAAACTCCCATCAATGTCAGCTGGAGCTGGATGAAGCCTTCAAGGAAGAGAGACCATCTAACACCGTGAGAGCAAAAGGAACAAGCACAACTGACATTTTGGGGGCAAGGACAGACCATCATTCATGGAGATGGATGGGTTCAGTACAAAACCATTTCTTTAAAATTATTTATTAAAAAAACACAAAACCCTTCAGCTATACAGTTAATGCTCAGTGCTGGCATCACCAACACTGCCAGCAGGAACAAATGCTTTGGAGGACATAAATCCAGAAGACTGCAGTGTCCAAAGATTAATGTGCGTGGACTAATCCACGTGAAGGAGCAAGCTGCACCACTGAGGTGGAGGCGGCAGGGGTAGAACAGCGTATGGACAGACTCCCATGGCAGTACAGAAGTAGGACATCCCACCCAGAAGATTAGGAAGCAGCCCCATAGTCTATCTCTCCAGGCATCAATCCTTCACATTTCAAGTGTGGGGTGATTCACATGGCTTCACCTCCCTGGACACGGATCGCAATTCACATTTTTGGTGTCACACTTTGGATTCTGGGCTCTTTATGGAGTTTCCTGCCAGTTTCTCCTTCTCTGGGTCTGCCTTTGTCTCTGCTGCGTTACCGGCTTCCCTCTCCTGCCGTCTGAGAATCACATACACCGTCACGAAGCACAGGAAAGTGCCCACCTCAAAGAAAAACTGGAGACCAAGATACCTGTAGTGCAGAAACACAATAAATCAGGGCACAAGCAGATACTGAACATGGGGATGGGCTTCTTGGGCACATTCAGCAGTGGGCAAGAAACCGCAAGCCTGGCTCCCGAGAAGGGTGGCAGAAAGAGGACGAAGAGCTAGGAAGAGCTAGGAATAGCTACTTCTCTTTGGTGTTACATTAACAGATCATATCTCCTGGTAAAAAGGAGGCTTATAAAAACATGTCTTGGGGTTGAAGGTGAATAGGACTTGCTGTAGCTACTGGGCAGGGAGTCACTTAACTACAAATTTGCAACAAGGATGGAAGACCACCTACAGCTCCCTTCCAGCCTCCCCACCATGCACAGTCTGGATTTGGTGTCCTCTTTGTGTCGAGCTGGGCTGCTCCATTGGAAGATGAACCCCAGGGTGCAAGGCACCCTGCATGGACCCTGCACCACTTCACAGGCAGCTTTGAGGCTGGGGTCACCCCTGCTGCTGCATTACGTCCACGGAGAAGGCATCAGGAGAGACTGCTTGTGTCTATGCTTGTGAAATAAGTAATCATAGCATTATAGAACAGCCCAGGTTGGAAGGGACCTCAGAAGACCATCTCATCCAACCTTTCATGGGAAAGGGAGCCCAGGTGAGATTATCTAGCACCTTGTCCACTCGCATCGTGAAAACCTCCAGCAATGAGGACTCTACCACGTCCCTGTGGAGGTTGTTCCAGTGAATGATTGTTCTCACTGTAATGCAGTGAGTGCTTCTGGAAGTGGACCTCTGTGGTCTATAGCATCAAGTTAGCATGGTCCTTGGCATGGTTTTGGCTTGTGCCAATGACTTCCCTCCAAACCGTTCCTGAGCACTGCTGGGAGTTGGCACTGACCAGGGGGATGCGAGTGTCCCTCTTTGCTCACCATGGCATATACAACAACTTATCCTACGCTGGAGGTGGCCTGATGCCACGATCCCTCTGGGTTTCCCTCTGCACCCCCAGCCCTTATCCTGACCGCCCATCCCTACCTCTGCCTGAAGAGGTTATTGTCGTAGTATCTGCAGGCTGCCTTCCTGTCGCACTTCTTCTCCCAGAGGATGCAGGTCGTGTCGATGGCGCTGCCGTACAGAACGGGTCCCGGCATCCATGCTGGAAGCAGAGGGTCAGAGGGGGCTTTGTTATGTTATGGGAGCACCTCTGCCGGGACAGACCCAACCCTGGTTACTTTCCCATGTCTCAGGGTGGAAAGTGGTTGGGGATGGTTTTCTGTGCTGTGGCCCATGAAGCCACTGGTTCTGAACAGCACGCCAAGGGCTGGTTGTGTGTTTGCACCCCACCAAGATGCAAGAAGGTCCTTCTTTCTCATTGCTCTTTGATAAGGGACCATCGCTCATCCCAGGAATGATGCTCACCTCCTTCATGCACTGCACTCCTTCCCACAACTGCAGTGGCATGTTCTGGGGGCCTCCAGGTGAAAATTAATTTCCACCATAAGAAAAATAACTAGTGGGATCACAGGACATGGTTTGCAGCCACCCTGATATGCTGGAGGCAAACATGGCAGCACCTGCACACAGCCAAGGGTTGTCCTCCTGGGCCCAAACTTATTCCCTGCCCTCTTTCATTTAGCCGTGTAGATGTAGCCCCTCGGAGATGCCTCTTTCCCACCACACCATGTGCAGCCCCCCAGACCCTGC